GTGCAACAACATCGTACCTGTGGTTTAAGGCAGCGATGAAGGTTCGCACCACAGAGAAACAGAGCAGCGCTGCATTGGGGTGGAGGTGGAGGATGCAATGCGGCGTTAGGGTCGAGGCCGTGGTGAGCGGACAATGCAATGTGGTTGGAGGCCGCAATGCAATGCAATGGGGTGGTGGCGTTAGGATGCAATGCAATGTGGGTGGAGGTCGCTAGCGTCGCGGTGGGCGACTAGCGTCGCGGTGGAGGGTGGCGACTAGCGTCGCGGTGGGCGACTAGCGTCGCGGTGGGGTGGAAGCTGCAGTGGGGTGGAGGTGTCTGCGGCGGGGTGTCACGCGGTGCGCGGTGGCGACGTGAGGGAGGGCGTCTGGAGAGTCCAAATCACGGTGGTAGGTGGTGGTCGCGATGCTGGAGAGTAAGGGGAGTGGGCGCGATGTTGGAGAGTAAGGGGAGATACAAAAATGGTAGCCTAGTAAAGGGAAAATGGGGTTTCGACGTCGGTTATACCCACACCCGACGTTGAAACTCGTTTTATCTCCAGTCATATATTTCAATCGATTGAAACGAGATTTAATCGATTAAAATAGTTCTGATCAGTCATAACTGGATTCTGATCGATCATCCTGACCCTGTAAGAGATTTTAATCGATTGAAACGTGTTTTTAATCGATTGAAAAACTTCTGATCTGATCGCTCATAAATAAAATCTGATCGATCACATTTGATTCTGATCGGTCATATTTGTAATCTGATCGGTCATAATGAGTTCAGAAGGGTTTTCAACGTTGGGTTAGGGCATAACCGACGTTGAAAGCCTACTTGACGTAGAATCCTGACACTTTAAGAGATTTTAATCGATTGAAACGTGTTTTTAATCGATTGAAAAACTTCTGATCGCTCATAATTAAAATCTGATCGATCACATTTGATTCTGATCGGTCATATTTGTATTCTGATCGGTCATAATGAGTTCATAAGGATTTTCAACGTCGGGTTAGGGTATAACCGACGTTGAAAGCCTACTTTCCACGCCGTTCATGCTAAAACGACGTAGAATGTGTCAAAATTCGACTTTCGACGCTCGGTTTCGACCAACCGACGTTGAAATCATGTTCAACGCTCGGCTAAGATGTAACCGACGTTAAACGGCGACGTTGAAAGTATATTTTCTAGTAGTGATTTATATAAAAATCTGGAATCTAGATCCACCGAAAAAAAATTGAATATTAAAAAAAGAAATAAAATTTAAATCAATGTCGATATTAATTTATATAAATTATATTATGATATAAATTTATGTCGATAATTATATTTAAGTTAAATTTACGTCATTTAGCAAGTTAAAATAACATATATGGAAAATCTCAATTTTTACTAGAGTTAATAGAATATTTCTACAGTTTTAAAAACTATATAGAATGTTAGACCAAATTTAATAATATGTCACACTCTTTTAGACGTATTTCTTGAAATTTATTAAAAATTACAAAACTTTGTGGCTTTACCTCTTATCTGATGGGTTTTTTTTTTCCTTTATTTTATAAAATATTTATTAATAAATTTTAGTCAATATAAAAATATATGTTAAAAAGAGTGCGTCTTTGAGTGGGACAAGACTTGGTTAAAAAAACATTGGTGTAAAAGGCGATTTGTTCTAAAAAAAGGGGAACAAATTTTAACTTTCATTACAGATTAATTATAATATAAAGAATAAGAATCTGGAATATTATTGATGATAAGAATGAGAAGTCAAAATGGGAGGAACCACCTTTTGCAAAGGTCAAAAGTCACATTGTAATGTTGCTACATGTACGCAACAAAATATCATAGTCCATTATTATTGTTTTACTAGGAAAAACATAATAGTATGAAGCATGAAACCAATGATTAAGTTGGGCGTGAAAGAAACACCAGAATCTAATCTTTACACCCAATTAAGGCATGGATGTTACCTGCATCCTATCCTCATTTCACCAACCTTCATACCACCATTCCAACATCTTCTTCTTCTTCTTTTTCATTCAAACTCCTACTCATTTATTAATTTATATTTAATCAAATTATTTCTTAAGGATACCTAACTACTTAATATATATTTAATTTATGATGTATAATTAAAAGTAAATCTCTTCTTTGTAAGATTGAAAGAGCCTATTTTACTGATATATGTCAACCTATGTTTTTTCATTATCAACTTATTATCAGATCTAAAATGTTCATTTCTCGGTATGAAAGTTTATAATCCCACATCGATTAAAAATATAATAAATTTATAATATATAATTAAGGTGTAAATTTTACCTTAAAATATTTATTTTATAATACTGACTTGAATATTTCTCCACTTTTATAATTATTCTTTTCAAAATTATTGAAAAAAAAATCTTGCAAGAAAATACATACCATATTTACTATTCTTATTTTTTTAATATCTTTCATACATAATATATATATATATATATATATATATATATATATATATATATTTCAAATCAAATAAAACTAATAAAACCTAATACTCCATCTAGTAAAAAGTTGTTTTTTAATATAAGGTACTTTGTATATGTTCCTATCAAAGACATGCATAGGTTATTATTATTTGACTCAACGATGATTAATAGAGATATGAAGGAAAAATTAATAAAAACAGTCCATAAAATTAATTAAATTAATTACTTTTTCTTGATTTGTATGATTTTGTCCAAAATAGTTTGTAATAGAGATCCTATGAATTTGTTTTTCACCAAATACAAAATACACCAACACTCATAAAACTTTAATTCAAGACCATTTGATTAAACTGCAACAACATGTCCATAGTGTGATCACGCAATCACAAACAACAATAAAATGGTTGGTTTTTATAATAATTATTTTAAAAACAAGGTACATGTATAGAATGCTAACTGGTTGGAAGTTTAGATTTTTATATTAGAAAAAAGATTAAATGGTGGAAAGGAATATGTATATGTGGTGCTAAAATGAGTTGAAGTGGAGGAATAAAAATGGGGTGGTAAGAGAGTTGTGTGGGGGAAGAATATATAGTTTAGCTTGAAAGGAAGATAGAGAGAGAGAGAGAAAATAGAAAGTGCATGAAGCTTGAGCTTACGGCGGGAGAAAAGAAAAAAAGAAGGAAAAAGCAGACAGAAACCACCAAAAAGCAACCTCGCCACCTCCATGTCGCTGTCTTGCAACAAGTTTAAGTGTCTCTGATCGATCTTTGTCATCATTTTTAAACACTCACCCAACAACAACAACACCACACATGTTGCACCAGCTATTCTCTCTTTTTTTCTCTCTTCTGTTTTGTTGTGTCTCTTAATGAGAGAAGAAGGAGAGAGATTGTAATGGAAAATAATCATCATCAAAGCTTGTCCCCCAAACAACACAGATATCCTCCACTCTCCATGCTGTTGTTGTTGTTGCCTTGAACTTGTTCATCATCGTCTTCATTTCTCTTCTTCATTGATTTTGATCATCTGCAGGTACTGTTCATCATATTATTCCTTCTTTTGTTTCATTCTTGTTCATTGATCAACCCCATTTGTTATTTTATAATATAGCAATACTGAAGAAGCTAACTTTATGTGTGGTTAATCTATTCTCATGTTCTTGATCGATTCTAACAGATTTTTGGATGATCCCCACTGGCAAATGAATTAACTATTCGATTAATCTATTCTCATGTTTTGCATTTTACTTTATGAAATTTTTTTCTCTGTATTGTGTTCATTGAATATATATCATTCTGTGTGAATTTTTTACTTTATAATATAATAGTTTGTAACAAATACTCACATGTATATATATGGAACTGATGAACGAACGCATAAGTTTGATCGATTTCTTGTTTGCCGAGAAAATCACAGAGGGAAATTAACGAAAATTGGACGCTTACTTCGAGGTATGGGAAAACGAATATCACTTCCAATTGTTTTATATATTCTCTCTGTTAATATTAAAGCTGGAAAATCTCTTATGTTCTATATTTTGCTTTATTCAAAATTTAATTCCTTTTTTTTTGTCTCACAAGTTTTAATTTTTTTTACTCACCGCACTGGTTTTTTAATTTTATATTTAAAATTGAAAACTGGGATTAATTAAATTAGTTATACTTTAAAAATGTTAATAATGTGGTGAAATTATTTCCTAAATTGTCGAGTTGTAAACAACATGGTTAACAGCTCTTAAACTCAAAATGTTTTCTTTTTCATAAAAAAGATAATTTTTACACTTTTTCTTTTCTCCCTCTCTTGTTTTTTTTTTTATCCAAAAACATCTCTTTAGCACTGCGAAGGGAAATCCAATATCACGATAATTAGAGCAAATGACGTGAAAAGTTATTTCACTTTATTTTTTTTCCAACAAATAAAAATTAAAGAGAACAGAAAAAAAAAAAACCATGATAAACATGAACCAGTTAAGAGGGTGGTAGTTAAAATAACAATCTAAAGATTTTCTTTTTTCTTTTTTTTTGAATAAAAAACAAAGCTTTCGTGAAGCATACCGTTTTCCACTTGAAGAAGGTGGAGGTTTCCAATTCAATGTAATACAGGTTAGACTTTACACAACCAAGGAATGCTCTATTGAATTTTTTTTTTTCAGGGTTAGACTTTTTTCCTAACAAAGTGATATAAAGGGAATTTCAACAATATGGTAGGCATACCAAAAAATCTGGGGTTTAGCATTTAGTCTACGATGATAGGTAAGAGATAATGCAGAAAGAATCTATGACTAGTAGGACCAACTATAACAACTATTATTCCCAGGGTTTCGTGAAGTTATGGTGATCCCAAAAAGGCTGTTTGTTGGTTCTTATTTAAATGCTTGTTTTGTTTCATTCGAGGCCATGAATGTGATGAATGAGTCTTTTGATGCATTGCAGTGCAGGGGAGAAGAATAGAAGATCTTGATTGGAGTGTCTGGAGCCCATTTTATTGTGTCTCTGATCATCCATTCATGCACAGTGTTGCATTGATTTGTTGAAAATAAGATTAGAAGATGGAGACTGGGGAAAGCAACACCAGAAACCAAAGTTGTGGAGTGATGAAAGATTCTTCATGGTACAGTCAATTCAGAAATGTTTCCAACCCTTGGTTGGCAAGATATGTGTATGCCTTGATTTTCCTACTGGCCAATTTGTTGGCATGGGCTGCACGTGATGAACTTTCTAGCCTCACTGCTTTAACTCAATTGAAGGGTGAGATTGCTTAAATCCTTCATGAACTTTCACATCCCATCACCATCACATTTAAATTTTTGTTGCTACTTTCAAATTTTGGCCATGTCTGTGCCACATGTATGGTAGAAAGAGTTTTCCTTCTCACACAGGCAAGGTTTTAAATTGTTATGAAGGAGGCCTTTTTCATCACAGTTGTAGGCAAATACTCCGAATATGACAGCCATTGCAATTATGATAAACGTAAAAACTTTTATGTTGTGGCTGAAATTGCAATCATATACCATTTTTCAAAACCTTTGACCCTTGTACAAGGTGTTGCATTTTCATGCAAAAAGAAAACATTGAAATTTGAATCTAAAACTCCCTGCAAACTATTCCAATCATCTGCTCTTATTCTGTTACTGATTGAAATTTATTCAAGACGTGTTGAATTAGTTTTTAGTTAGAGACTTTCAGTAAATTTTACTGTGCTAAAAAGAGTACCACATTAATTGTGTTATTAACATTATATTGTAATGGCGTCAATAGCTTGAATTCTAACATATATTGAACTCACAGGGTTAAGGAGATGCAAGGTTGGAAAAGACTGTTTGGGTGCAGATGGTGTTCTGCGTGTGAGCATGGGTTGCTTTGTATCCTTTAAAAATTTCAGTATCTATATGCATGAAATCTAGTTTGGTCGATCAATAATCAATATTTATGCTCAGTTTTCAACCTTAATTCTTGATCAGCTATTTTATATGATAATGTTTTGGTCAACTGCTGGCACTTCTAAATTGAAGGAAGGCAGAGATGAATGGCACTCAGGATGGTGGTTAGTCAAGATAGTTCTGCTGATCCTTGTGATGATATTCCCATTTTTACTCCCTTCTGAGTTGATTGAACTCTATGGTTGGTAAATTGTGTCTTGAAAACCCTCCAAGTGTTTAATGGTTCCTCTTTGATATAAAAGAATATTTCTTATATTTATTACCTTTATTATCCCTCTTAACACAATTTTTTTTTGGGGCAGGTGAGGTTGCACATTTTGGTGCAGGGTACGTGTTTTATTTTTACCTTAACTAAATGATTGCAGCATATTGTTGTTTTGAACTTATTGTTTTAATTTTCTCTATCTTTTTCAGGGTTTTCCTCCTAATTCAACTAATAAGCATAATCAGCTTCATTACGTGGCTGACTGATTGTTTTGGCTCTGAAAAATATGCAGAAAGATGGTATGAAAATTTCAATTAAATTATTTATACTTATCTTCTTTCAAATAAGAAATATTTTTAACTCATTTATTCAAAGTCAGTTTGCAGAATACTTTTATAGTGCTCAAAATACTTCCTAAAACGTTTACATTTTATCTTCAATTTATGTGCAGCCAAATCCAGGTGATGTTATTTGCAACTATTTCATATTTTATCAGCTTGGTGGGGATCATTTTGATGTACATCTGGTATGCACCACTACCATCTTGCCTCCTCAACATTTTCTTCATCACTTGGACCCTAGTGCTTCTCCAACTCATGACAAGTGTATCTCTTCACCCAAAAGTAAGTACTGTTTGCAGGTCTTTTGCTTGCTCAACTTACTTTATCTCCCATCATAACTTTATGTGGAATTTATGTCTCTCAATAGGTTAATGCTGGCATTCTAAGTCCAGGCTTGATGGGGCTTTACGTTGTCTTTCTTTGCTGGTGTGCCATTAGAAGGTAGGGCTAACAATCTTTGTCTTTACTTTTGGACTTGCACAGATAATTTGATATAGCTGTGCAATGCATGTAGCTTCAAATGTTTAGGATTTTTTCAACCAAAGGAAACATGGATGTAAAATCAAACCATGTCTTAATGTTTTTCCATTTATTTCCTTTGTGATCCCTCTAACTTTACATTGTCCTCATTTCTGTTGAATTTGAGCTTTAAAACATATTTGTGTGTGCAGTGAACCTGCGGGAGCTGATTGCATCAGAAAGTCAGAATCTGAATCCACAACAGACTGGCAAAGCATCATTGTAATATTTACTATTTCATATTTTTGGACTTAATGTTGGAAATCTTCTCATATTAATGAGTAACATCAAGAAATATTTACGAAAAAAAATTATTTATGTTGTTACAATTGCTATTATTTCATTCTCTTATAACATGATATCACTTTACCTTCTTATTGGCTGACATTTGACACTGACTGTTGCAGAGCTTTGTTGTTGCAATACTAGCACTTGTTGTTGCAACATTTTCTACAGGCATAGATTCCAAATGCTTTCAGGTTAGTAACAGAATCTAAATAGAACTTTATTTTAGCATCAGGTTCTCTACAAAGCACATCTAACTGACATTCTTACAGTTCAGGAAGAGTGATCCACCAGCAGAAGATGATGTTCCATATGGTTATGGCTTCTTCCATTTTGTTTTTGCCACAGGAGCAATGTACTTTGCAATGCTATTGATTGGATGGAACAGTCACCATTCGATGAGAAAGTATGTTCCCATCTAGTAATTGGCTTATCTTACTTAGATTTCTTCTATTTACTTTTCACTCAAAAACACATTCCATTTCTAATTACTAATAGCCAAGCGATCATCATATATACAAATCAAGATGCCTCTTAATAAATGTGTTACAACATGAAGGTTGGAAGCTATACTTTGTGTAACATAATATCATTTTGAGTCCAAGCACTTAATCTGGTTATATCTTCTGAACAATATCACTCCCAAAATTTTGTCACTCACGACATAACCTTTTTCCCTAGTTGCTAACTTACAGGTGCTTGTAAAAAGTTTATTTGAAGTTGATTCTGTCTAAAGTTATAATTTTTGTGAACTAAGTTGTAATACCTATATGCTACTGCAGATGGACTATTGATGTAGGCTGGACCAGCGCTTGGGTCAGAATAGTTAATGAATGGTTGGCAGTTTGTGTTTATTGTAAGTATGATCCCATCACAATTTGATCTAACAATAATAGGAAAAGAAGAATATCACAAATAAATTTCTAACACATTCTTTGTTATTGGGTGAAATACATATGAATAGGGAATGAGACCTATTAAATTGAAATGAGAATCACAAGATTTATAAGTTTCATCACATAATGAAGAATGTATGAAAGAGTTCAAATAACGTTTTTCTAGTTTTGAAAAACTTTAACAGATAGATACTCTTAATGTAACACTTTATGGTGTAATTTCTTGAGCAAATAAGCTTTTGACTTTTGACAGTATGGATGCTGGTAGCTCCAATCATATGGAAGAGCAGACATGCTGATACGACATGAGAACTTCCCTGTCATCTCCCACTCTGGTTTGAAAAATTGTGAGGATTAAGTTCTTTAACTGCCCCATATACCTGCTGCACATGTAGTGGATTCCTCCAAGTGCCCCTTTCTCAGATAGGAAAAAAGATTCCAACTTCTTGCAACATCCTAAAAATTTGAAGTCGGAAGCAACAGTGGTGGCACAAATGCACATAAGTTTTTTGGATTTGTTACTTCAAGCTACATAGTACCAGTTCTGTTCATTTGCCACTGAGGGAGTATAAAGTAACTTACTTAACAACCATTTAGAGGATGCTCATCAGAAATTTCAGTCATGATTTTTCAATTTACCAGTTTCAACCATTAGAGTACTTTTTGAGTGAATCATTTGTATGTCAAGCATAAGTTGAGCAGTGGATTACCATTTGTCTGTAACAAATAATGTCCAACTCACCATCAATGAAACGCTGTATTCATTGTTTTTTTAGTATATGCTTTGATGTGTTGGTTTTTAATATATTATTGTAAAAATAATAATTTACGAAGTACAATATATTTTAAAGTATCTTAGATTAAAGTGGTGCTTAGATTTTCAAAATATCCACTTATTTCCTCGTTGGGTTTCTTGAACCTAATTCAATATACATTTCTAACACCTTCTAGACATCGATTTTCTCTAAAGTAAACAAGAGGTACATCCACTTTTATAATTTTAGTGAGATAAAATATTAAAAAAAAATTATCTTGATACTTTTCTAGTTTCGTATTATATACAATATATATGTTCTGTAGACGTTCACAATAATTATCCTACGCATTCTAATATTTTTTAAATAATTAAAGAATTAATGTAACTTAACATCCTTGTTATGTTATTAAAATAGTTAAGGATTTCTTAAAAAAAAGGACACAAATGCAATTAACTTTACTCAAATTAAAATATGTTTCGTATTGAATAATTGAATAAATTGCAATAACCTTTTACTTTTCTACTTAACAGGCAAGTCCACTTTCGAATATTTAGTTTTTTTTAATAAAATAAAATAATGAAATGATTTTAATCCATAAAAAAATATCATAATTTAATATTTAACCCTTTTTTTTAAATTAGTCTCTATAAATTTTCTTTTATATTTGACATTGTTTTAAAGTGTAAGTGATTTGTTTTGGAGCTTATGAAATCCACGTGGTGTATTAACTCAGACATGACGTAAACTATTCAATCTCATGTGAAAAATAACATGGACACCGTTACTACCACTTTTCATAAGGAGTTTTGTTCTCACTAACCCTAATGCACTTGTGATAGTCCTTGCAACTTTTTGGTTAGACCCAACACTAGCCAAGTTTTTTTGGTCCAAAAACTAGCCACTTGAACATGATGTGTGAAACCCATCCACATCAATCTTCTGGTCCTGATTATAAACGTGGTTTTGTAGTTAATTGACTCTGGTTGATGGAAATCGAGGTAGCTTTCACATTAGGGGTGGATCAAAATCATACTTTTGAAAGTTTTGAATGCATGAATATTGTTCAAATCATTATTTTCAGCTTCTTAAAATCCAGACTAAACATGTTATATATTGTCACTGTGACAGTCATTTGAATTTCCAGAGATATATTGTTACTGTGAATCTTATCTTTCTGACCATTGAGTTATTTTATGTGGTAATAGCTAATGTATTTGATCAAGAACTGGGTTTAAAACAAAATCCAAAACACATTTATTTAGCTTAACCTTAATCATAAGAGTATACTTATAGTTTTACATAAAAATTGTATTTATTTAAACACTGTTATATCAAGTTTCGTCTATAACATCATAAATATATATATATATATATATATATATATATATATATATATATATATATATATATATATAAAGCAACTGGTGGCAAGGTAGGAAACTATGGAGTATGGACCTTGGTAGTGGATTCTCTCGTGAGCCAACCAACATCCAATGTCACATCACGCACTATAATTCACTCTTATACACATGCATTCGTCTATATTAAAATAAAATTAAAGAAAAGTTAGATTTGTTAATATCTCCTCCAAAAAAGAGGAGAAATATATATAATAACAAGATAAAGGTGTTTCATGAATTCATGCAAAATGCTGTCAATACACTGCAACATGTTTGGTCTTTCTAAGCTGAACCAGACACAAGTGCCCTTAATGCGTAGCTATACATTTTCATCTGCTCAAATTTCATTTTCTTTATCATATTTGCATGTGTTTCTGCAAAAGACAGTTTATAATAATCATTAAATTATTGTAAATTAATAAAAAATATTCTTTTACATGTTTAAGATTCTTGTATGATCAAAATTTAAAGTGAAACAGTCTATATCAATTTAAGCATTAACTTCTGTAAAAGATAATTTTACAGAAGGTGGTGAAATTTATCAATTGACTTACTCACTTGCAGTAACTACTCATTGGGAGTAACCTATGAAGCCTGAATTTTTTTTTTCTTAAGGTGTGTCTGAGTTTCATGTATCTCCCTCACCTTTTATGCATGCAGAAACAAGCTCATGTGATTAACATACCTGACATATGACTTGACCCTTAGCATTTGTTTTTCAAAATTCTGCTTCTGCTTCCATTGAAAGGTTCCACTGTCACATGGACCAACCTGTAGATAAAAGAGCCTTTCTTTAACCCAATTATTCAATGATTCAATAATTCCTAAATGCTTCTTATCTCATGGACTTCAATAATGCAATGCAATGCATGACTCCTGTCCCATCATATATTCAAGGTGAAGACAACACATGTCCACAGCTTCTTATTCTGGTCTCTAAGCTTCTCAATTACTTATTTCATCATTTGTCCCTTTTTTCCTTTCAGGCATCTAAAAATTGATGCACAATTCAGATAAATTTATTATGAATAATAATTTTGTAAAATATTTAATGTTACTATATATTTAAGATTTAAATGATGTTAGTTAAGTTAATAAACTTGTATAAGATAAGTAACTTTATAGAGACTAGTATAAGGAAGTTTGCATTGTAACTTATGAACAAACCTATTAAAAATTTTAGTGGCATGAAAAAAATCTTTGTAACTCACGATAAAATCACTCACATGGATCAACATACATATTCCTTTCCTTCAACTTGGGCTAAGCCTCATCACATTCACTAATAAAGCTTGTCATTTCTACTTCCAATCCTGTGATTCCTGTTTCCTCTTTACATGTGTCCTTCTTGATAATGTGATTCAAGTTTCACCTCTTTTAATACGCATCTGTTTCTTCCATGCTAAAATAGTCTCAGACATTTCACAAGCCATGCTTCTCCTTTTGTAATGCTTTTTAATGTCTATGTTTCTAGTGGGCTTGCCTAAGAAATATATGAGATGGCATGCAGCATGTTTGAAAATCAGTTAAATAAAATGTCACACCTAAGATGTGAATGCTAAAACTTAGTTTTTCAGTAGAATGAAAAACCACATCTAAGATGTATAATCAAACACACTAATAATGTGTTGTTTAACATGTTTTCTAAAGCAATTGTACTCTTCATCTGATTCCAATAATTTGTGAGTTGTGACTCTCAAGATTAGTAGCACTTTATGGTGACAATTAATATCATCCACCCCAGGTTCATAGTTCATTTTTAGTTTGGTCAAGTGCTTTTGGAAGTCCATCACATGACATTATGTAACCACACTGAATCTATTTTCTATTGTTATTCCTCGTAAAATTTATTGGGTTCTGTGCTGCTTTTGGCTTCCCCAATAAAATTTGACTTTAAGCTTATTTGTTACCTCCACTCTCTTAAACACTCTCTCCTCCCTATTATAAGATATTCCTGCTACCCTGCTTTGGTTGAGATGAAACTCGAGACTTGTGTGGTAGACTAGTTTAGTTGTTACACTTGTGGCTTTCTTTAAACTCAGATTTGCGTTAGACTAAGAACAAAACTCTGAAATGGGGAAACTAGAGAGGATGTTGGATACCTTCTGTCTTTCTTTTGGCTCAAACACCTGTTTCTGCATGAACTCCATCGAGTGTGAAGATGAGTTTGAGAAAAAGCCTTTGATTGTAAGTGCTACTAGTGGTCATAAACTGAGATTGAAGGATGTGGTAGATGGAAAGCAGACATTGGCTTTTCAATTGAAACCCCAGGTGAGGCCTTTTTTTCTTTGTTCCAACTCTTATTCTGAAACTTTAGTCTTTAACTATACTGAATAACGTGTATAATCTATGCAGTCAATCAATCTCACCTAATGTGATAAGAATTTGTTGTTGTTGTTCCAACTCTTATTCTGAAACTTAAGTCCTTAACTCAACTGAATAACGTGTATAATCTATGTAGTCAATCTCACCTAATGTGATAAGAATTTGTTGTTGTTGTTCCAACTCTTGCTTTTTTTAGTGAATTTTCTATTGTAACATCAAAAGTCCTTCTTCTCTCTTTCCAAAATGAAAAAATAAAATACATGTTTGGTATTATATTACATAGCTTGTATGGTTTGATATATATGTTCTCATTCACTAAATATGCAGATAGTGACATTGAGGGTGTCCATGCATTGCTATGGATGTGCAAAAAAAGTTGAGAAACATATCTCAAAGTTAGAAGGTGAGCATATTACCATTTTTGCTCGCCATATAGTAAAGCAGCTTTCTAGAGTAATTTAACTGTCACAAAATGAGGAAAAAAATTAACTATCAATGCTACTTTGTAAATATTTAACATTACTGGTACTGGTAGGCATGGCAGCTTTTTGCTTTATCAGTTTATCTTTTTTTCCTGAATTTCATCACAAACTAAAGCAAATTCTGTCAGATGTTGATGAACAATTCTTCAAATGTCCACCACAGGATACTAGGATAGAGAATATGCTAACCACTCCTTTTGATAACATCTGCCATAAAGTCAACATTATTATTGTTTATTTTCAGTATATGTGTGGTGTGTTTGTATTTTCTTTGCTTTGCATCTATTTATAATTATGATATCTGAATCCAGATTCACTTTTCAAACAGGTGTGAGCTCATATAAAGTGGATTTGGAGACAAAAATAGTAGTGGTTATGGGCGATATTCTTCCCTCTGAAGTGTTGCAGAGTGTGTCTAAGGTGAAAAATGCAGAGCTTTGGAATTCTCGAGCTAGTAAGGAATAATTTTGAACAAAACAACCATCTTCATCAGATTCAACCAAACAAATATGTTGAAATAGAATTAAGGAGCTCTTATTTTCCTTGTTTCTTTTTGGTGTTGTACATAGTGTATCATGTTAATACCTATTGCCAAGCTCCACTATTTTTCGTGCAAAAAAAGGAAATTTAAAAGACAGAAATGCATTAATATCTCTATCAGTGTCTCTTGATATGTTCTAACACATCTTTCAAGGTTAAGATGTAAGCCATTATCATTGGTGATTAAAATTTTCACTTCTGTTTGACCAAGTTGTGCCATAAATATATGTCATACTTTGCATTATCTTATGTTTTTCCATGTATTTATGGTATTAGTCAAACCCCCACATAACATACGTATATCAGTTTTTCAATTTACATGAAAAATTTAATAAAACTCAATTAATAAATCAAAAACACATGGTTACCTCAGACCATACAACAATTTCTCGTGTTTAAAAGCTTCCATGTCAAATAACAGATATATGGAAACTGAAAACTAGTTGTAATGTGGCACTGAGGTAGATAGTTCTAGCAGTAGAATAGTCAGAGTTTGATTTCAAACTCTTGTGAGTGGACACTGGCCAGTGATGTTTTTTTACTTTATATTATTAAGGCAACAAAAGATCTATGGTTATTGCTCACAGAATAATTAAAAGGAAGATCCATTATGCACGACTTCTACACTAGTTTGAAACTTCGAATTACTAGACAAAAATGTGTCCCTGGTAGCAAACAAAATAATAATATCATGGCCACAGACTTAAAAAAGCTTAATTCAGTCACAAGCAAGTATGCTGAATACAAATAAAGCACAAAATGGTTTTCTCACATGCCTAATACAGTCATCACCATTAAATAAAGGTATGATTTTGTACTTTGCCTTCCTGCACAAGTATAGCTTTGCATCACAATTCTCTCTGTCGTTAATCATTAAAAAAAGAGACAGCATAAGAATGGAGGAAAAGAAAATGCATCTCTTACTTGGAGGGCTAAATTTGTTTCTACTCTAATCTAGGACATGTGCAAGTTGTCAAAAGGACAAGGAACATACATGTATGATGATAGTTCAGGTCCAGCTCTGTTTTGCTCCTCTAACTTTTTGGCCACAATTGAATTAGAAACTAGGTTAGAAAGTTGTTAATTTTACTAATCAAAAGAATCGAGTAACATTTCACATGCATAACACAAACAGCAATAATGGGCTTAATTTTCCTTACATTTTGAACTATGATCCTAAGAATAGAAATGATAAAGACTGATTTTTTTTGTCCCTTAAGTAGATTTTTGTTGGAATTAGAAGTAATAAAATAAGTTTTGATTTGCCCCTTCATCAACTTGTTAAGAACAGGGTAGAATGAGCTCACTCACTTTAAGAGCATGGATTGAAAAAGATGTCATACAATTTCTAGGCTGGTTAATGTACCAAAAAAAGAAATTTATTTTTTCTAAAAAACTATATAAAAACAAGAAATATATAAAAAAGAAAATAGTTTTTTATTTTTATTAATTTTATCCTTTTTCACTCATCTATCTAGTAGTTTTCAATTGCATTTTTTATTGATTTGTTTATTCCTTTTGGATACATTTGAGAGATGGAGTTGAAACAATCAAACGTCCACATCCATGTCACCACACCATGCATGAATGAAATTAGAAACTGATATTTGAGCATGTTTGGGCCGTGCTCATTTATGGGCATCAATATTCAAATCCAGTCCAGGCCCAATTCTGTTAAGTTAAAAGTCAAAATAGAAAATCGTTTTTCAGTTACGTGTTGAAAGATGCTTCCATTGATTCTCGCATAAAAAATCCTCATCCAGAGTCTCGTCGTTATCTTGACAGACATCAAAATTGACAAAAGAAAATATAAAAATAAAAATATCAACTTAATTTTTTTTCATATACAAGACCAGAGGAAAATAATTTTTGTAAAAAAATTAAACAAGCGAAACGAAACGAAACGAAAATCGCAATGAATCCCAAAATCCTCTTCGTGTTTGCGCTTCTTCTTAATCTTGTAACTAATTCGTTCCAAAACCCTAACCCTAACCCTAAAACGCCCAAATCAACGCTGTCGCTGGCTCACGTGGAGCTCGTAAGCTACGGCTTACCCTCCGGTCTTCTTCCCGCCACCACCGTCCTGGGATATGTCGTGAACCGGACCACCGGCGAGTTTACTGTCAAGCTCGGTGGCGCGTGCAAAATCACGCTCCCGCCGGACAACTACGTTGCCACCTACTCCGACACCATCACCGGGAAGATCGTGCAGGGTAAAATTGCTGAACTCGACGGAATTAGGGTTCGCGCGTTCTTCAAGTGGTGGTCGATCACCGGAATCCGCTCCTCCGGCGACGACGTCGTCTTTGAGGTGGGCATGGTCACAGCGAAGTATCCATCGAAGAATTTCGATGATAGCCCCGCGTGCGAGGGCCAGCACACTTCTTCATGAAAAGGTTAGGATTTTTTTTTCACCTCAGGTTTATCCTGCTAAAATAGTAAACCTTAATATTTGTTGGACACTTAGGTAATTTGTTTTGTTTTAGAATATTCGAATTTTATTAACAAGTTTTTAACTTGATTTTTGCTTGTTAAACTAACAAGTAAACTTGATTTTTGTTTTGTTTTGTTTAACTTGATTTTTTGCTTGTTAAACCTTAATTAATACTTAAATATTTGTTTTGTGAAAATTAGTTAGACAATAAATTTTTTTGAACTATGTAATAAATATGCTTGCAGAGTATTTTCTGGATTTTTAATTATGCTTCTTTTTATCTTTTTGGTGATTTGGTTATTCCTTTCATTTTGTGTGTTTTGTTGTTGTAATGTGTTGTGAATTTGAATAAAGTTTTGGACGGGGATAGAATGACAGAGAAAGAAAGCTTCACTGTTGCATAGTTCTTTCACTTTCAAGTCTTGCAATATTCCATGATTGTCTTTTTACGTTACAAAAGCAAGATGATGACATGTGGCCATGAAAGAAAAAATTTTAAAAATTATTTTGTGGTCACTGTTATATCATGAATCTGATTGGTTTCTTGCAGTGAATGTGCTCATTAGAATTACAGGTGGACATTGTCCTTTTTCTGGGTTTTAGTGTAGTTTTTGGATTTAGTAGTTCAAATGTCATTATTATGTTTTGGAGAATATTGGTAATGTAATTAGATTTGTGTTAATATGATTATAAGGATGACAATCATTATTAATGATTTTACTTGTTGTGTAAGATTTGACTAATTTTTTATTCTGTTTCCTACTAACGATGTTTTTATCTTTTCTTCCACGTGAAGATCCATATGGTAAAATTTTGTTTAGGCTGGCAAAAGCTTTCGTGGTGTGCTAATTATGCTTTCATTTCATTTTGAATTAGTTCATATCAGACTTTGAAATAGTTCTAGCTTTTGACTGTTTTCACTTTTCATAATACTGTTGTCACCCACAAAATCATAATCATTCTTGCTTGAACATTTCTGGTACTGTATTACTTGTATGAAAGTTTGGATATGAATTTTTTAATAGAATTTTGTTACATTGTCAATTTGTTTCGTATTTGACCTTATATCATCCTATTTGTCAAAAAGGATTCGTGTGCATTCGTATAATTTAGTGTCTATTTATTTTGTTCACTTCATTGGTATAATTGTTTTTGTTCTATTCTAATTAGGTAACTTGCAAAAGAAAATCTTGCAATTAGGTGGTTGGTCCTGAGCCTCATCTCTTAGCTTTCTATTGGCAGTGGCAAATAGTTACTGAATCAGTCAACAACATCTTTTTGTTGACCACCATTCAGATATTAGGTGGTTTGTGTTACATTGCTAGCCCACAATATGTTTGATATACTGTGTCCACCGTTCCACCTTTACAATATCTGCCACTAGGCATTGGAACCATATTCTCCCAGTTAGTTGTTTGCCTTGTTTTTAGCATTTACTAACTATTGGGATATTTCTACTTAAATTTATTTGGTTGCATATTATTCTGTTATTACTAATACATATCATTAAGAAATCCACTTGCTTAGGGTTTATGATACTATTACTGACTTGTTTACTTTGTTAGGTTCACTTGATTAGCAACTATTACCATTGATTTTGTTTGGCCGTATGAATTTGGAGCTTTATTTAAGCTCTGAAGTATATTTGCTTGATTCTGATAGATCCGTTGTTGTATTTCCCAGTGTCTTGCTTTGAGTTTCTGTGGTTCTTGGTCACGTTTCGATCATGCTTTGGTTTCATACATACGCCATAGGGTAATCCGTTGAACTTCAAAATATTAGCTTTGATGTGACTTTTAGAAATCTTCCTTCGATCAAGGAAGAAAGCACATTCTGATGTCTATGGCATATTCCCATTTGAAGAAGACCTGATACCGAAGCCATGCACAATCGTTTGGTGCAAATTCATTGTTTTTTAACTTGTGGTTTGTGAGATATCTTGTTTTCTATTATAAAATCTCGTTAGTATATCTTCTTTTAAGGTGCATTGATAAAACAGGTTGTTTTTAAGTCATAGATTCTGTTGTAGTTGGTTGACTTGAGAATGTTGTTCTTAAGTTGATTTATGAATGATACTATTTAATATGCTATACTTTATCGGAATTCTATTGTCTTATTTCTTATGTCTTATCTTCCTTTATCCATGCAGGGTATTAGCTACTTATTCTCAGCCTTCGTGTGCTATGTAATGAGATAGAATAGCATCCATCAGTGTCCACTAAGTGCAGACAATTTTAAATCACTCGTGTAATGTGTAATAGTACAAGGCTAGTAATACTTTTTCGTAGTCGTATTTATGCTACGACGAATCTACTTTCATATCACTTGATGGTCACAATACTCGTTCGACTTGTGAATAAGGCCACTTTGGACGTTTCTTGTTTAATATTCTCTGTTACCCAATCTCTTTTCTTCCACTGTAAATTAATTAAAATCCTCCACCCTCCACCAAGTTCTTTACATGGTTAATGGAACTAAAATCTCCAGAGATGGTAGTATCCTTGACTGAATCAAACTCTGAACCACTAGAAGAACCTTCCATTGTTGTCCATACTGAATCATTACCCTAACAACATCCAACTAGTTCTTGTTCGAGGTGGCATCATCCATTAAAGAATTCTGCATTCCAAGCATGCAAAGGAATGGGAAATCTTGTGGGCTCCATTGATTTTGTTCGCAAAAGAAGTTTGCCATAATATCCATTCTTTATTGAAGCAATACTTCTAAATCTTCTCCACCCATTAGCGTCACCTTCATAGAATTTATTCCTTCTGTCAAAACTCCTTTTACTGAATAAACAAAGTTAGAATGATGCATCACCTCAACAACACAATTCCAGTGAAGCCATCTCATTCTCTTCCACTAAAGGACACTCCCTTCCAAACATTTATCCGACCCCCTCTACTGCTTTGTTGCGTTTTTATGGAATTAAAACAAACCTTTGGCTCCCCCATGTTGAGAAAATTTTGTGGATGAAAAGTCACAGTTCTTTCCATATTTAGGACCCTGTTTATCATCCTATCCTTTCACTTTCACTATCCTTCTCCTTACCTCACCATCTCTCGAGCTCTCCTCTCCGCCACTGTCTCATGCAACCATGGCATTTGCCAACCTTATTATACCACTTTTTTTATCCATTCAAAATTACTGTAGGAAACAAGTTTAATTCTTGGCACTGAATAGGAAACAACCACACAATAATCACGGGACCATTAGTAAATAATATATTATTTGTTTAGCACTAATGTAATTAATAACCACATATGACTCAAAAGACAACACTAGTTTTTGTGACTTGATGCCAGCTGCATTGCTAACCTGACATTGGAAATGCTACGGCTGTAATCACGGGAGGACATATTATTTTAAAAGTTTTATTTATAATTCATTTTTATATCACTCTTTTCTTAATCTGGGTTCATTTTTTCGAGGACATTGAAATTTATGTAAGGGATGAATATCTTTTAACAAATATTCTTATGCAAATAGACTAATTTTTATTTCAAAAATAAATGAAAAAGGAAATTATTTGTTTATATTTTGGTTGCGACGGATTACAAATGAAAGAAAATACACCACCAAACATCGCTTTTTGTCTGCATAAGAGTGTGTGTCGAAAAATGAATAAATAAATGAAAATAATAAAGTGAAAAAGAAGATGAAATAAATAATAAATAATGGATAATAATATTCTCACGCGCAGTGGATAGAATGAAGAATGCAGCTACCAATCACGTGAGGAATTACTGCTTAATGTACCTTTTTCTCTGCCCTAAGGCCCCACTCATCACCTATTTATTTCTATTTCTATTTCTTATTATTATTATTATTATTATTATTATTATAGGAAAAATATTATTTTGTAAAAAAATAATGCATTTTACCCGTCATATTTCAAGTGAAAATGTAAACTAAACCACTTCAAAGTAAATGAATATTTTCTTCTTTTGGTCGAATTGAATAAGAGAAAAACTCTTGCTCTTCCTTCTTAAGTGTCTAAAATAAATGTATTTTCAGACAAACTCAAGATTCTTCCTTAAGGAGGAATAATCCATGGAATTTTTGGGGGTAAATTTTGGGTCTAGGATCATTAAAATAATATAATTAAATTAAAGTTTTGAATAAAGAAATATATATTAATAAAGATGTGTAGAGATTATTAAAGTAATTTCGATTTGATGAGAAGTCAAATTAGAAATACTAAAACTTAAGTAATTAACCTAATTTTGGTTATTTAAAGAGTCATATAACACCCATATAGAACGTAAATTTCAGCTCTTCCTTTCTTTCTATTCCCATCAAGAGAGAAAATTCAAAGAGGAATACATGTGTGGTTTTACGAGGATATCATCATTATAGTTAATTTAGATACACTTTCGCATTCAGGTTCACAACATATTTATGAGTATAAGATAATGTTTATATTTGATCGTTAAAATCAAAATCAGAAAAATTATAAATTATTATCAATTAGTATCAGAACTACTTGATTCATGTTTCTCTTTAGAAATTAAAATTTACAAAACTCCTGCAATACCCGTGAATGTGGTTTTGAATCCTGGTGACAATAAATTCCTAAGAAGATAGAAATTCATAAAGTGGCAGGATTTTCTCAGACTAAGTTTACTTATTGTTCCTTGGTTTCATTTTTTACACGTAACCCTAAGAACTATGCTTAATTATTCAATGAACATGTGTGTTCTCAACCCATATAGTGTTGATTCCTTCAATTTCGGAAGTTTCTGGTTTAAACAAATGGATCGCATAAAACCAGTTTTTATTCTTATATTTTAAATTTCTTGTACCACCCAATGATTAAGATTGCGAAAAATGTTTCAGATTTGAGGCCTTGGTGGGGATAAGTCGATGAAGCATAAGTGCAACAGAGACACGAATTGAGGAGACTGTTTGTTTCCAAAACCTCATTTCTCTTAACACAAAAAATATGTTGGTGAAAC